GGGGGGGGGAGTTTATAAATCAAGAGTCAACATTACTGGTTGTTTCAACCTCTTGGTAAAAGGCACCCAAGTGGTAACAACAATATTGGTGTCAATTAATAGATTAAAATAGATTGCAATAAATTGATATAAATTGTATATGTAATATAGTAATAGTATATAGCTGCCGTATACCTGATTCAATTCAATTCTCAACACCCATGCATGATGCGATGATTCACATGGCCCACCCACCCATGCACCAGTCACAAAAGGATCGCCTCTCCCCCGAGCCAGCTTCGTGCTTCGTGGAGCCAGACGTCTTGCGGTACACCCTCCCAGCCCAAGACTGTCGTCTGGTGAGTCTGGTCCGCCGAAAAGCCCAAAAGACTTCAAAGAAAGACCAGAAATCCCTCACCGCCCTCCACCAAAAACGACCGAAATCCGCTACCTTCAGAAAGATCTGAGAAATGTCATGTGGGTGAAGAAAGACCACGAAACCCACGAGGCCCTCCACAACTCCTCCAAGATCCATCGAAGCTGCTTTTGCCAACAGGCTTCGATCCGCGCTCGGACCTTCGTTGGCTCGAACTCCGTCTGGACCTGAGACATGGATGGACATGGAACAGGTCCAACACATTTTGGAAAGGAAAGAACGGTTGCGCGCAAAGATCTTCAATTAATTGGATCACCGTCTTCTAGTTGATTTGCTGGCACAAAGTGGAACACTGAATCACAGCAACAAGGGGACAAGGTGAGTGTTTTTTTTGAACGACGAGGAACAAGGGCTGAACAGATGGGATGTGTCGTGAATTTCGGAGCTTATTTGCTAGCATCATTGCTGATCTCAAATCCCCGGACTTCTCTTGAGCAAATCTCTCAGCAACCTCTCAGATGGTTGTTCCACAGCATTTGCGAGGCCTGAAGCGAGTACAATCCAGTGGTGTGAGGCGCGTCTCACAAACAAGTGTTCTGTGTCTCCCAAAGCCGGGAGAGCCTCGGAATGGTTCTCATGGTGTTTTCATATGTTTTCATGTCATTATATTTGTTCCTCAAAAACATACATCCTCCCCATGTCATACAGGATATTGCCATTGTGATGTTCCTACGAAACATATATCCAAACACGGTGGCTTCCTTGGAGACCTTCAGACTTGAGACAAACCATTAGTGCCTTGCTACTCAACTGTTGCATTCATTTGGCAGCTCTTTCCCATCGAGACCACCTGTCTGTCTGAGTGCCCGGGGCCAAGAGCCGAAGTTTCAGGAAGCGCTTCCCTTCCAAGTTGCTCCTGGGCATTCCGCCGCTGGTGCGGCCGCGGCGCGGCCGCGGTGCCACGGCTGTCAAGTGGCGGCTGTCAAAACCGTGGAGTGAACGAACGATGCCGTGCATCGACGCTTTGGCGGTGAATGTCACAGCTATCGGATATGGGCGGCAGGTCAAGGCTCTCTCATAGAACCCATCCAGGAATGACCCATCTTGTACTCCTATATATATTTGCTATTGTATGAAGATGTATGAAGTAATGCAAGGCCAGCTAGGTGCTATGTCGGAATCTATCCCGACTCCCCACGATACGAATGCCGATCGGGACAATTGACATGGCAAACCTGGATGGGTCATGGTCACACCAAGGGTTATGAAACACCCTGACAGACAATCTTGGATAGAACTCATGAACCTCCAACAAAGCACCTTCCAAGCACTGGCTTCCTCTGTTTGCCTCGTGCTAGTCAACTTTCGTGTTGCTTCGGTGTCCAAGTTAGCCCTTCATCCTGGCCCCTGGCGCCGAACTTTTCATGAAAACTATATATATATATTGAAGCCAAAACGGGGCATTTCACTCCGTCCTCCACTGGCAGAAACTGAACGGACAGCCTGAAAAGATCATGAATGATAGTATATAGTGTTCGAACTAAAACAAATAACATGGTCTATGAGATTGTGCCATCACCATCTCGGGCTCAAAGATTTCTTCGAGGCACAGCTGCACGATGTATCCCAGCTGCTGCTTGGTGCGCAAGTCCTCACCACATGAGGCTGTTGGGTTTTGTGAGGACTGCCTCCGCTCACTGACCCAACACATGGGGCAGTTGCCTGTGAAAGGTTGCATAAAGGTGTATGATCTTTATACCCTCATGTCTTTATACTGTGAAAATCTGTGAAAGGTTATCTTTATACCCTCATGATCCCTCATGTCTTCCACACTCAACCGTAGAATTCCAATTGGTGTCGGAGTAGAAATACATGTATAATGGCAGCCCTGGCGAAGCAACTCTGTTCACCATATATCAGGAGCACTATCAGGAGCCTTTTCGACCCTTGGTTGGCGCAAAGTCCTGACAAAAGGACATCCCCAGAGTCCGAATGCATGCGAATGCATGGTGCCCGGGTCGGTGAGTCAAAAGATCGACTACACTGGATGACCCGAACCATGGGATGTTCTTTCTTGGAGCCGGGTCTGTCCCAAAGATGGAGCGCCGATGGAGACTTGACTGGAGAACCAGGTGAATTCTCCGATTGCTCTCGGCAGTGTCAGCGATGTTGCTCTCGGCCCGGACTCCCAGTGTTCCCTGCAATGGACTCACCGCAAAGATCCGCACAATACAAAGCACAGGATCGTCCAACTGTGGAAGGAAGCAAGTGTTGTTGTAATAATTCTAGTCTCACTATGTTTCACCGAGCCAGTCTGACGCTGGAAATAGTTTTGTGAGCAAACAGAGTCTTAACATCTGACGGATGACACAACATCTGGCTATAGGAACCGATCACCCCCCCCGATCTGACTGGGTTTGACCAAGAATTCACCAGGCCTCAAAGACTTTGGGATTCAACATCCGCACCAGGAGGGAAGTGAAGACACTTTGCCTCACATGTGGCTGCGACGTTTTTTTGGTGAAAACATGTCTGCGTCCGATGTGGAAAGGAAGGAACCCCTGGCGAACACCTGGCTGCTTCAAGTTGGCAGCTATTGATCTCACTTCTCGAAAACAGGAGTTTGAGACTTATTTCAGAAAGTGAAAGAATACTCTGAGATCTCGCGGAAGCTGATATGGACAAACATATCGCTCTAAGACCTGGGGTCGAGCAGCTGATGAGGTGTACGGTTCAAGCCCCTTCCCATGGGGTGTGACAGCAGGCTGCTGCCAGGTTGCTGCAAGCCGTCTGGCAGTTGCAGTTCCATCACCACACAATTGTTGCGCTCCTGAGGCCCAGACTGGATCACCACTCCATTCGATATGACTCCATCGATTCGGTGAACTCATGGGATCAAAACAAAGAACAAAACCACCAAACATGGCCCTGGCAGGCGGGCACTCAGACCCACCGGTTGACCTACCCAGGTGTCGATCGTTCACCGCCGGACTGCAGCTTTGCACGCATTCCTGAGTTGTCCCCGCACAGCCAGAATGCCAACGATCCGATGGACAAGTTGCCAATCTTGACAGCTTTAGACTCCAAAGCTGGTTCGTCACCAACTTCGCAGCTCACTTCCTAGCAAACTAAGTGCTTCACCCAGCTCCACCTCCAGTCATCAAACATCATGTTACAGTAAAGCTCCTTTTTCTTTTTGCTTCCAGCCTTCTTCCTATGTCACCCAATCTCCACCCACCTCCCAGCTCCCTGCGCCGTCCTCGGGATTGGTTCCGGGGATCACCCACAAGGTCCGACCCTCTGGAAGCTCCGCCTCCTCTGGCGCCTGAGGGCTTGAGGAAAGGCTGGAATTCGTGGAGCATGGTGGCGCTCATGCGACTCCACCAGCTTGCAGGTCTGTGAAAGCACGGGATTCCACTTTCATAGAGCAGAAGATTAGTGCGCTTGCATGCCCATCCCTGCACGAACCTCCATCCATCCCTACCACCTGTCCTCCCCCAAAAGCAAGCATCTCCCGGCCGCAGTTTCGCCTCCCAGCCTCGCCTCCGCGGGGCGTCCATTCTCGGGGCTCGCCAGCGAGCAGAGCGCACAGAGACGTTGAGCCTCCGGAGCGTCCGCGTGGCCCGTGACCAAGGCTTCACTGAAGGCATCCAGGAAGAGCCTCGTGCGAAAGGAACTGAAGAAGGGGAAAGGCAAACGAAGCAAGGTTGATCGAGGAAAAAATTGTCTGTAGTTTTATGACGTGTAAGACCACGAAGCAACAATCAGTATAAGATTATAAGATCTAATCAAATCAAATCAGCCTTGCCAAAGCCTTTCAAAGGCTTTAGTGTGCAATTTGATGTTTAAACATGAGAGCTTACTGTTCGGTGCTTCTACAGGGAATGCTGCATTTGGCATATTAATCGATCTTCTTCGCTAGCCTGTAAAAGAGACTACGTGTGGACATTCTGCATGGAACACCCACGTTGGGGGGGCAAGAGCGCATTGGATCATTTCAGTCGTTGTTGCTGTTTGGTTTTGTTTGAATGTTTACTTGACTTTTGTCTAATCTTTTTGCCCAAAACGCCAAAATCAGATGCTGCTCGGCGGACGTGTCACCAGGGTTTATCGCAGGGTTCATCCCAGAGTCCATCGACCAGTATCAACAGTGGCCATGGTATGTAACCTTGGACTCAAGGGTCTAGATAGGCCTGGCTATATAAGTTGATGTGACTGTCCAAGATTACCACGTGCCAAACACTTAGTTAGAGAAGCCGAGAAGCCAACTCCGACCCTTGATTCTGTTTCGATCTACCCTATCCAGGTGACATATCAACAAAACAGATTGTATATTGTACATCATGTCTATCAATTTGATTTGGGACTTTCAACCCAGCTTGCCTATCACAGCCTATCAGCTGGCGGGACAGTTTTTTGACCGACTGTGTCATCCCGTCGACATGTTCGCCTCTGGTGTTCGCTTTGCACGTCCTCCACAGTGACTTGATCTAAGACCTTCAGCTGCTCCTGGGAGCGGAGAAGAACTTCTGCCATGGTCATGCCAGAGACTTGCAGAACACAATGGAAAGAAACCTGAGCAGAAACATATACAATGTTCGCTTCTTTGGCACAAACATATACAACATATCCTAGAAAAGCAGCGGATCTCTGCATTGCAGCGGCATGCATGGACACTGAATACTATACCAACCACAATTAGTGGCATCATTCCTCCACTACCCAGCACCTCTTTGCCCAAACTCGCAAAAAACAAACAAAACACTGGGGCGTGCGCCAACGTTCAAAGCGAACCACAAACCACTCGTCTGTCTATGACCGCTGTCGGCTCCTCCACGCTGAAGCTGTGCCTTTGCGTCAGCTCGCGGCTCTTGCGCACCGCTAGGTCGCAGGGCCTGCAGAGCGCTAGGTCGCCGGCAGAAGAGCTGGGAGGCCGAAGGAAGCGTGATCTGTGGTGATCTGGTACTACAGGATACTACAGGTGGTTCTTGGTTTGACTAGATATAGACCTGCCACCCATCTCTGAAGAACAGGCTTGGCAGTGTACTCGTGCTCACGCAGGTGAAGCTTGAGAGGCAAGTCGCGCCAGTCACAGATATTGTCACTCCATACTCGAATCGTGCAACTGTCCACCACCTTGTGCAGGATCATCTTCCAAAACAACCGAGTTTAGGGCCTCTAGGGCGGCTACTAGGGCGACCTGCTTCTTTAGGGTAATCCGATTAGGCGGCGGTCTTCCCAAAACCACATCGAGCAGTCTGACCGGTTGCGGCACTGGATCTTTGGAATCAAAGAGGCGATCAATCCAAGGCTTTGAAATGTCCTATAATTGAAATAATGTGAGTATTCACCCTTTTTGGGTCACGTTGAGACTAATTAGTGGAGTTGACCAAGAACCCAGATCAAACATGGTAAAACATCCTTCCAGCTCCCACCTCATCTTCAGTGCAGAGTTGCGCAACATCCGCTGTGTCCGGTCTAGGACCAAATTGAAGGTAGCCGGAGACACTGCCTGAGACATGCAAAGGAAGGTGTCCAAGACAGCCTAACTTCGTTGAAGTCGAACAAACCAAGCAAACCCCTTTTGAAGGATGTCTTATTTGAACGGGTCTTTGGGTCTTCTTCAACTACAATGCCAGCGGAGCTCCTTCCGAATCAGAGGACCGTTAACCGTGAACGGGTCGGTCGGCAGCTGGACAGAGCTGGACCTGAGACCGGTTTGGGCATGCGGCATGTCGGATGTCTTCTTTTATTACGGAACATTGCGACATGAACTGCGTAAGTCGCTGCATGTCTGGTGGTACGTACAAGCACAAAGAAAAACAATTCAACTGAGGGCAAGCAATTTCCTAAGGCATACAAGGACTCTCTCCCCTTCTGAGCGAATCCACTACACCCGACTAAGCCGTGCATCTAGTCTAACCCCTACCAGGTCAGTCTATCGGCATTGTATGGAAACCATTGGAAACCACCATAAGGGTAATCAATAATCACCATGAGGGCAACAAATGGAGCCAACCACAATCTAGGGTAGTATCCTTTTCCAATGAGGGCAGCCACACCCCATCCATATTCCCTAAACGTCCCAGTTGTCCTTCGGCAAAACCTGCCTCCTTCATCTTGGCTACCACTGCCTGACGAAGGTCATGGGGATTCTTTTTCAAGTCAAGAACTGCACCTGATGCTGAAATTCCAAGACATGTTTTACTTACACGTGGCCCACCATAGATACCTGCGATAACCTGCAGGCCGTGCCCACAACAATGCACCGGCAGCAACAACTGACCTAGCTCATCTATAGGACTTAAATCAATTTGAATAGCTTTGAGTACTTAAGTAGCCAGTATAGCCATTCATGTAGGTTTGCTTGTGGAGCTGCGTTTTTGCATGTCGATGGCAAGCTAACCTTCTGTCTGGCCTCGAGCAGCACTGGCAGCTTGTCACTGAAGCCCGCGACCAGCAAGGTGATGCCTGGGTCCAAGATATGGAGGTAGCTCTGTGCCAAACATGGAACCGTGACCAGGAAAGATGTGATGTGAAAACAACAAACATGGTATGAACGTGTTGGATCGGTTTTCTTTGGAGGGTGACTGGACCTCCAACAGCAGTTTGTTCATCAAAACTCTCCCGAGTTAGGTGAGCAGCTGAGCTACTTGGCACTGGAAAATAGCCTTCATCGAACACTTCAACGATAGCCGCTAGCCGCTAGCCACTCCGCTAGCCGCCCAGCGGTCGGGTAGGGTGCCCTCGCCCGCCTGTACCGGAAGCATCCAAGCTGTATGAAAGACCCGCCTGAGCAGCCGCTCTAACTCCGATAGGCACCAGGTCTGGCCAAAGGTCTAGGAAGTGAGAGGCGAGACAAGCAATGTGGCTGAGATACAACGCCAAGTTCGCTTTCTTTTGTTCAACGAATGTGCGGTCGAGATGGCATCACTGAAGAAGAAAGAAGGGGGGAATACAATTTTGAATCGACTGGATGTGCATTTAGAGTAGATGGATACATATATACATCGTTGGTAGAGAAGTTGAAATGCACATATAGATACTTTTTGTTTGGAGGTTGTCTCCTGATGTTTACTTTCAGGATGTTATCAGAACTCTTTCTCAGGTGTGTCAAATGTTGGGGCCCACAAACAAGTCTCTTGTGCAACAAACATCAATCATATGTTTTGCAAATGCTTTGTTGTTCAAAGCAAACTGGAGTGACATGCTGCCTGACTCGCATCATAGGAGAACTCATTCAGCTCCTGCCACGCGGGCAGGCACACTATCAGCAAGTTGATTATTCACAGTCTTGCCAGAACATAAATTGAAGCAATGGTACTGTAAATATCAAGCAACTAAAGCAACGCAACTTGCTCATAGCATCCCTTCTTCTTTGCCAGGTCCTTCAGTCCAGCAACAAGAGATTCGCTCTACAGTATACAGTATCTTTGCTCCAAAGAACTCAACGTTCTAAGGAACTTGACTGCATTCAACTCCCGCCGAACAAAGCTGATCCATTCGCCAGTCCAATATAAAACCAAATTGCATGTCAAGCCAGGTCTCCATGGCACGAATCACCCAGGGATGCCCCATCGGACCCGGCCACCGCCCGTGGGTCACCCGGGTGCCTCTTCAATGCAAGCGCACCAAATCTGGGTGGCAGGCTGCGGGAGATCAACCGATATCAGTTTGCTCATCCATCGAATGACAGGTATCCTTTTGTAAGAATTGCTGGGTGAAACCTAGATCATTGCTATTGGGTGTTCTTCTCATGTTTTCCTAATTCGGTGCATTGATTCATGTCAGGGATTCGTGCAATTATCTGCAACTGGAAGAGCACCTCAAGTGACTCTTGCTCCCTTTACACACACACCACAAATAGAAATTGTGATAGACTGACTGACTAACTACTTGTTCAGTTATTTCCTGAATATTGCTCCACCTCACAAACACACATGTCGACCCTCCCACCTACGCCCAGGAAAACGGACCCTTCGCAGTTCGGAGCACTTTGGGACGCTTCCGAAACTGAATTGAATGGCTGCGACCAGCTCCGCCGTTGCGCAACGCCCGACCTTCGTCAAGAGATAGCGCAACGCCTGAGATCAAGTGCAGGAGTGGCGGGGACCGTAGATGCTGAAGTCTAAGCAACAAACACAACTGCAATACAATGCAACAAAGTGAATTCATGAATGCAACTGACATAAAGAGAGATAGGGATAAAATGAAAGGGAAACCAATTCCAAACATCTGTAGGTCAGCCATCAGCACCCTTGTAATTAGGCCCTCTGAGCACAATGAAGCCCTGCTGCCACACGCAAACAAAACCCCCTCAAGTATGTTCTGGCCGCCGGGACACATCTTCGGAGGATCTTGGGCATTGAAAGTTGAAGGCCACAAAGGTCTGCGCGCGGCGGAGCTGTTGGTACGAGCGGATGACTTGTGGACATGCTTAACCATCGAGAACATTGGTGACCGATTCTTTCAGCACTTAGATTGGCTCAAACAAACAGCTGTTGAAGAGTTCTGCGAACAAAACCACCAAACATCCCCCAGGAACGAAAGAAACGCTGTCTCTTCAGTTTCTTCCTTCAACAAAAGGCTCACCTGCTGAAGGATTTGTCCTTGCAAAATAGGCCCTCTTGTAGTCTAAGATGCAGGGTTGTATTCTGTCAGCATCCAGCAGACATGCTCTTCTTGGTCTTGGCTCTGATGGTTTGTCAGATACGTTCAGTGGGAGCTTTGCCTTCGTTATGCAAGAGGCAAGAGTGTGCACAAGCCGATTAAGCCCCAGATCTGAAGTAAGTTGGATATCAAACATGTTCTGGCCCGCCTTCCCCATATTTCAATCTATGACATGTGTATGACTCAAACATCTGTTGTCCCAAAACCTATGATCAACATCGAAGAACCCCACACCGAAACCTGTCGAGCTACCCGCCATCCCCTCCCCGGAACGGAACTCACGCTCCTTCGGCTGCAGAAAGCGGTCATCCTTCCGGTGGAAAATCTGCCACACCGGCATCTGCTTGGCACAGGGCCGCAGCCGCTGCGGAGTCAGAGGCGCGTCTGCGGGGGTCCGCGTCACAGAGAGGTCCTGGCGAGAAGGCACGAGAGGACCAGTGGGTGCTTACCCGGGCACCGGGAAGTATGAACCGGCCCAGAGACTCTTACAGATGCCTTGAGAAGACATGGCAACCACATGTTCAAAGAAATGCCTGTGCGAGGGTTCCGTTTGCGCAATTGGGAGCAGGAGCAGGTGCATGATGATGACAACTTGGAAGTATGTATATAAATACATACATTTGGGGGTGCATTCCTGCCAAGCTCCCCCGTGTGACCTTGCGCTACTCAGGTTTTTGCCTACACCCAAGCTCCATCTTATGACAGTTGCTGAACAAGGACATGAGGTGCTCCAGCTCTTTGTCTTGCATCATGTTTTCCGTCTGACTGTAATGCTTCGCGTCGAACCTACCCAGAGGCTGTTCTAAGTGAACAACAAACAGTTTACCAACATCTCCGAGAAAGAATCCACCCCTGAAAAGTTCAAATTCTGCACGTGACGCATCGTCACTGCGTCACGCATCATTTAAAACAGAACGCACGATGTCTGACATGTTCTATTTACCGTTCGAACGTTCTATGTTTTGTTTTTTTCCCCTAGGTTTGCAGGACACCTTGAACAGCCCAGCATGTGCATTAACCGAAGCCCAGCATGGCAGGAGCCCTCGCCACCGCCCGGCGACGCGGCGCTGGGCGAGAAGTTCACTCGCACCGGCCACACGGGCTGCGCTCACTCACCGAGCTCGCCGCGCGCGGTTCACAAGGACGATGGAAGTCTCCCAACACAACCCATTCGAATTGAAATACCCTGAATCAACTAGGAATTTCTTGTTGCAATGGAATGATGTACGAATAAAAATCCATGCAGTAACATGACTGAGATTAGCTGAGTAACCTTTGTTTCAAGTGCCAAAAGGAAACTTCCAAGAGAATGGACTGGGGCAGCTTGTCTTCAACATTTGTTGAAACCCCTGTGATGGTGCGAATGAACCGGCCAAACTGCAGGATTCGTAGGATGAACATGTTTTCTCGTGAACATGTGAACATGGATGCACACCAAAGAGCTTGCAAATAATGCAGTGTTTCTTGAAACAAGGCAACCACATAACCACTTTCACAGGGATTTGTACGGCACACCCATCCCTTCTTGGCACAGTTCATCAACCACCTCCCCCCTCCTCTAAGAGTCCAAACGCTCACTGTGGGTCCAAAGATATTGCGGTCTCCTATCTGTATCAAAGCAAGTGATCCAACAGATTGAATGTAATTAGGATTATAAATTAGGTATGCATGGTTTGGTGATGTTTGGTGTTGGTTTTCTAGTTGATGTTCAGAGTGAGATCCGATTTCACCGTTTTGCACTTCTAGCTCTCAAGCTCTCGACCTCTTTGGACCGACTCGAACCCACCGGCCAAGTCCGAACCACGTCGTGGACCCACGCTGGCCGCTACATCACCACACAAGCACTGCTCGTGTTGCTTTTGGAGTGGCGCTTCCCGCCAGCTCCAGGGTTCTCCTGGGAGAAACGAAGGGCCTTCTCTGGGAGGCTGGGGGGGATCCAACAGAAAAACATGAAGCACCCGCCCCAGTCAAACGCACGCTACTGATTGGGCTGAAGGAGTGTTGTCAAAGGAAGAGACTTGTGCACTTGAAGTGCTTGGAAGTGAGGAACACTGCTTGTTTTGAACAATTCCAGCTTTCTTCTTAGAGGTGAACCAAGGTGAACCTGTCTTTATCCAACAAATGGCCAAAAGAAACCAGTCGACTCAGTCCCACAGCACCGAGTGCGGTGCTCATTCCGATGATCGCAGTTGAGGGGCTGCTCCATGCTGGTTCAACATGAGGCTGAAATCCGTTGACCAGCTCAAAATTGGACAGGTGTGCAAGGGAAGAACTAGCATTTAAGTATGCCTTGAAATGCAACACATGAGACATTAACACTTAATTAACACTCAACTACTCACTTAACTTGCAAGATCAAGAGCTTGGATTCGGTAGTTGTAACAAAGCTTCGTGTTGCCAGTGCAGTGTGCGTCTGAAAACGGACACCGGTCACCCGTGGACAAATTCAGAATTTGGCAAGCGAACTGCCCTCCATGACCATTGGCTACTAAGACCATAGGATTCTAGGGGCGGTTGACTGGTGAATTATTGACCAGCCTCATATGATAAGCATTGATAAGCTATAAGCTATAGGCTAGTTGGATGGTATACAGGTTTGGGCCATAGGTATTTGGGCGATGAGTGACCGACTCTGCTTTCCTTCATCCAAGAATCTCGAGTCTTTGGTCCCGCGCTATGGCTACGCTGCGGCTCAGAGCCCTGTCCAGCGGCCGCCTTCTGCCGTGCTCGTGCAGCGGCGGCGCTCAGCGCGCGGCGTTGGGCTTCTTCTTTGACGTGCTTGGAGTACTTCCTAAGATCCAATCAGAACCCGATGGATGTGACATCCCTGGATCCCACCTGAACTTGGCCTGAACTTGGTCATGTTAAAGTCAAGGGCCACTCCACTTGCGGAGTTCGTCCACTCCCCCACCCCCTTCCTCACCCCCTTGGCATGACTGGGACGGCGAAGATGACATGGATCACTTCCGCTGATGTCTTCACTTCCTCCGTCCCCTCCCATCACCCAAACACCAAGGAGCCCTTTCTTCGCTGCTCAGCAGGGCATGACGAAGGAAGGCACCTCCAATTCCCCAACGTTCTGCGTTCCTTCCGTTCTGTGGGCTTGAGCCGAGCCTTGACGGTCAAAGAGCGGAGGAGAGATGCTCAGAGTCAGGAGATGCAAAAGACATACAATTTTGTCGCTGTAGGTTGGAGTCCATCGCTACTAGGGTGGAGTCCATCGCTCTTAGGTTGGAGGCCATGGCTATTAGGTTAGAGGAGAGAGCTGGGAGATGCGGAAGACGTACCAGTTTGTCAAGCGCAGCACTCTGTGTGCTCCTCTCTTTGCGTACTGGTGTGATATATGTTATTTTACGAATTCAACAAATCAACACGAGAATCCAGTACTGAGATGGACAGGAATTTGAAAGGACACTTGCTACAAGTTGCCCAAAACTTCGAGTCCGTTCTTTGTGCACAAACACTTCGCACAATGGCTCCTCCGGCACGAACACGTTGGGCCCGGGCATGCGGATCCCAAACTCCTGCGACCGTCCGAGACACGGTCGACAATGATCAAGGTCTCATGCATTAAAAAAAAAAGGCAAGGTGTCCAAAAACAGCTCTGCCAGCTTCGAAGAGAGAGAGGGAGAGAGATGACACTCAGCATTGCATTCTAAGAAGCTCTTTCTTTCCCCCCAAAGCCTAGGCCCTAGGATGCAGGGAGCCCTCTAAATACCAAACCTGCCAGATCTTTTCTTCCCATCATAACGCTATCAGCGAACGCTATCTGCGTTGGAGGGTCTTCCCCCCTTCATTTGGGTGGGTCCTCGCTGGTCTCCTCAGCTTCCTCACTGGATTCACCACAAGCCCGAAACGAGAAGGTGGTCCAGAAGACCGCCCCGGCGAGCAAAGCACTTGCAGCTTGAAACCACGTAAGCCCACGTTGACCGTCATGGATGATGCCTTGTGTTGCTAGAGCCGAATAGATCGAGGGCGGTCCTGCTTGTGCGAAGACTTCGAAGGAAGCAGCAGTGCCCGCAATATCCTCGAGAGTTTCCATGAATAGAACCCCAAGCGGCAAATAGCAAGCCAAAGTGAAGCCCATCAAGAAGGAGCTTCCCAAATAGGACCACAAGTAGTGGGAGAAGAACACCGCTGCAATGACAAAGGACGAGCCCGATCCTAAACTGAAGGCCATCATCCATTGCTTCGCCGTGGACAAAACATCTGTGTCGGCATTCGTCACCAGAATCATTCCCGCAGCAGCGATCGAGGCGAAGGCTCCCATGAGCCAAGAAGTCATCACCGTACCTGGAGCAACGAAGGACCGATGTGGTCAACCTGGGGTAACACACTCCATAGGAAATAATCATTCATGAAAGCGGATGGCCATGGCCTCTTTGGATGGGTGACCACTTCTGGCAGATCTTCAGAATCTGCACGGCTTTCTGTATCCGTACGGTAATCACCTCCTTATCTTGCTAGGGGTCGACATGCTTTCACCCCCCTGCGGAGATTACACCATGTCTGGAGATTCCCTCAAACCAAAGGCCCCGGCTGTTTCAACACATCTGAGCCATGAGCCATATGGGTGTCCAAATCTACCAGGCTACTCTTTCCATAGACGCCTTCGGTGAGATAGCTGATGTTAGCATTCACGGTGTAATAAGTGCTCAAGACAAAGGTCTCCGCGACCAGCAGCGTCACCAGCTGTCGATCCGTAAAGACTCGTTTGACGCTGGACCAGTAGCTGGGAGGATCCTTCACATCCACAGCCGTTTCGTGGACGCAGAAGGCGGCGTAGTTGGCCAAGCCCGCCCAAGCCAGTGAGAGAAGAAAGAAGGGAACTCGCCAATGGCTGAAGGAGGCAACAAGCCCTCCCAGAACTGGTCCAATAGCTATGCCAATCATCTCAAGTGCTAGAACCACTGACCAGGCCACCAGCCTGCTAATACTTCACTCCCAGCACGAAAACTCGGACATTCGAAAACAAAAGACGGAAATCTCCCAAGCTGCGTATTCATTCAGTGGTAAGCAATAAAGTGCCCATCTACTCCTATCTACACCCTCCCCTAAAAAAGGCTCTTCCTGCCCAACACCAAGGCGAACCCATGAACCCCCCCCCCCAGTTGGGGGCCTATCTTCCGGTTTCGGGTAGCAGTCGCGCAGGATCGCAAAGATCAAGGGCTCCAGTGACTCGCCCAAAGACTGGATGACACGGGCAGCCAGGAACCAGGAGACGTTCGGAGCAAAGGCACAGCCGAAGGAGCCCAAGATCAGTAGGAGAGCGCCTAGGTGAAACCAAGCGGAGCGCTTTGAACGCTTCGCGTTCCCACACCCGAGCGGAGCGCTTCTCACAACAAAAGAACGGGTGAAAGTTGTGAGAAGATGGGGATCAGTCAGTGCACTATCACGATTATGACTGTGCCACTATAAATAGTATAATATAAATATCTCGTGACTGCTAAAATGGTTGAAAGCATATATTGACTCCAAGCAAGGCACATGTCACGAAGATTGGCCTTCTCCCAATCTTATCGGACAAAGGAGCCACGATGAGGCCCACGACGCACTTGGAAAAGATATTCAATTGCACGGAGCCTGAGAGAAGGGTCTGAGACCCAGTGAGTTCCACCTCCATTTGAGGCATACTTGGAAGGTACTGATCAGTGGTGAAGTACAAGAGTCCTGAGACGGCACCCAGGTAGATCGTCAGTGTCCTGCTCCCAACCATCTGTGGATCCTTGGGACGTTTTTCTGGACAACCAAAGCACATCGTTGCCAGCAAAATCGCAGCCAAACAAGAGTAGGTTGTCAGCGTGACTGCCTTGCAAATCCAGCCATACTCTTCGCCCAGATGAACCAATCCAGCAAATAGTCCCTTGCTCGTCAAGTTCTTCACGTGAAAGTCCGAAATCCCGACAGTTGCATTGATCTGAAGGAAACATGCATCATCCATGCCAGGCCAAATGTCCCACGTTTCCGTGGTTAAATAGGGAGGGGGTTCGGTCGGACATCTTGCGGCATGGTGCAAAGAACACATGCGTCCTACTAAGCAACCAGCTCCTACAAATCACATGTGTTCAATTTCACCTTAACATGTTCCAAGCACCTGGAAACCTTGGTTCAGAGGTGTTCACTTATTCATGTCAGCCATCCAAGCGATTCATGTCACGGTTCTCCTCTTAGATCCCAAACGGAAACAAATGTTCAGTCCCTCTCTGCTCCTCAGCTTTCGCCTTGGAAGCTCCTGGGATCTCCACTCTCCGCCAAGCTTCCAACCAGCTGGCCTGACTGACGATCCCTGACTTTGATCTGATGTTGGGTAGTGTGAGTTGGTTCTATCTGGCTTGAAGGTAGGAAGATCCAAAAATGAAGAATGCAAAAACAAACACATGAATGATATCAATCAACGCATGTTCATTGCCTAGATGAGAATAGTAAAGACCTCACAAAGCAGCTGCCTCTAAGAGCGGGATCAAAAAACATATGCTGATCATATTATATAGGCAACTGGTTGATGATTATTTCAGTTCCAGATTGTAGTCCTTGCTGCAGTATGCTGCAGTCTGTTTCTGCAGCCTTGGTCTCAAAACCCGTTTCACCTTCCCTCCACTCCGGGCATCTCCGGAGCTCGGCACGCTGTCGGAACCTCCAAGGGACCACGGTGATAGCGACCTCCATACCAAGGGTCCTCTCAGGAAATCTGGCTGAATTCAATGGTGTTGAGCTCAAGAGGCAGTCGTTCTTGGGGTGTGTCTTTTACGATAGCTTGCCCCCAGTTTCCGATATATAGTATCTTCATGTATCTTCACAAGAGTTGTGCGCCCCAGCAATGTAAGTGTGTGCGCACATCATGGTTGGGTGCCAGAATGAGCGACGTCAAGCGAGAGTTCCCCAAGGCTTGTTAAACTGCCTCCCTGGCAATAACTGCGTCGGTTCCATTCCGCTACCATTCGCACGCGCGGTTGGAGTAGAGCTGTTTGCATCACACACGCCGCTGACAAGCCTCCGTTAAATAGTCATATTAAGTGTTGTGCCTACCACCATTTGTGCCTGCAATGAAGTCTGCACATCGCCGGCTCCGATCCCCTGCACCTGTCACGAGAAGCCGACTTTGGACCGACTTTGGAGCACCAAACCACGAGGTTTCCCCTGCGCCTGCCACGAAAAGTGCGCACAGCACATGCGCACAGCACCACAACGAGATTTCATTCAAGAGCACCCGCTCGGGCCCACCGTCTGTGAGCCTGTGCAGTCCGAACACTTCAAAGATCTCGAGGTGAATCAATGCACTGTAAATGGCAGGGAACTAGCCGCTCACGGATGCGCGCCCCTCCGATCAAACACCCAGCCTTAACCCTTGCGGTAAGAACCATGGCTAAGATCATATAGTATGCTCAGACCATATACTAGAGCTTTCTATGTGTTCGGGTCCGTGTGTGCGCAGGGGTCTTTTGTGGCTGATATAGGTCTTCTGCTCACCAAACGTCTTGCTCGGAACGCAACCAATGCACGCGAACCGCGAACCGCGACCCAAAAAGGGGGCGACCCTTCGGCTCCTGCTGATCGCATCGGTCCTTGTAGCTCTTGGAGACCTGCCCCACCGGTGTGGTTTGCCCCAATGGCTGCGGTCTGGGGGTCTTGGCGGAGGCGGTGGCGGGTGTTGTAGAACGTAGAATCTGTTTCAGCAAATGCCAGCTTTGAGCAGCTTTGCTTGCTCCTTGGTCTCCACTAACTCGCGATGCCGACGATGCAAAGACCAACACAAACGCACTCCAACATGAAATTAGTTGTCATGTCAGGCTAGAGAGGCAAACAACCCATCTTCATATCAAAACAAACCAGTTTCGATCAATTTATGTCGATTTATCCAGTTGGGTGATCACTATTTTGGAAGGATGTGAGTATCCCACCGGGAGATCCTGCACTTTCTGCGGTCGTCCACCTTTGGAAGGTCATCTTCCCCACAAGCCGTCCTACTCCGGGCCACCACACCAGTTCCACTCGAACTTGATCCACCTGCGCGGGCTGTTCCGGGCATGGAACATGGCTGCAAAGGACCACATGGGACCCCTAAAACCACTGGGTTGGTATTGGGAAAATGGTCGAACAATGTCGAAAGCACGGGGTCAATTCTCAGGTTCCATGTTAGTTTGCCGGGGGGGGGTTATCCAAATGATGCAGCTTTAGACCTTCTTAGCGACTTTCAATGACACAAGTTGACCAGGATGACTACAATTTGCCTCACATGTTCCGGAAAAGGCATTTCAGAGTGCCTTCCTGCAGACCCTTGGATTTTTGTATCAATACCCAAGCTGTTGCACACCACCTACCCATCCTCACCATGTAAAAAACAATCAAGAACCACACCCCAAGCTGTTTGTGTTGAGGCCAGGAACCCGGTCTGAAACCCCATATTCCAGTGTCAATGTGTCTGCTCAGACTCAAGTGTAGCTTCCCAACCGCAACCAACGGACCAGATTCATAGACAACCTCTGAGCTTCGTAGCTTACCTGGCACCTCACACCAAAAGCTGGACCCAAAAGTCGTGACCCTGAGCTGAGCGACCATGAGGTGTTGCAAGAAGTCCTTCGTGCGCACCACATCCGGCTCGGACAGCAGTACCGGAGCAGCTAAGACCTGGCGGAGCTGCGGGGGAAAAAGGTGAGTCCCAATGAACAAAAAGGACGCCTCCAGACACCGTCCACCTACCAGGATTTTGACTCACAGCCATATCGTGCTTTCGATGGTGGGGGCCTGTTTTCGATGGTTGGGGTGTGAATCCTTGAGTTGGGTCAAGACATTTCATGAAGCAAACACCAAGTGTCAATCAGGGTCTACAGCACGCCTCTACGAAGTACTTTCTTTTCCATCACTACAAAAGTTGCGGCCGGGGTCTGAGTTCTCGAACAGGGTCACTGTTTCTCCTGGAATATTCCCTGAAACAAATGAACTGATCGAGTTCAATGTTCAACTACCCTTCAGATTCCCTCCAACTCAATGGCTTCATGAGCAAGAATGGCCTTGCCTGAGAAAGCTAGTCATGAGAGTCCAATCATGTTTTGCAAAGAAACGCATGTATTTGCAAACATATGCTTGACACAATAGTCTTGAAAACACATCTAACAAGAAAGTGGACCAAGACTGGCCTAGTCAACCTCAACGCAGCTGAATTCTTTCCGACGAGTTTAGAAAGTTTACTCAGGGGGCTTTTCTTTTGGATGCTAGTGATGCTTCTTCGTTGTGTCTCCGTTAAGAAGTCGTTCATTCTCTTAGTATCCAGCCACTGGATTTCCAGGGCAACTGTCAATCACGCTGAGTGTGTTTGCAGAAAAAAACAGCACCATGGCAAATGAAGGCATCCAATCAAAATGCCTCTTATATAATTAGGATGTTAAATACCAACCAACCATGTGGGAGATAACATGCCGAACCGAATTGACTCCAAACAACCACCAAACAGCACACACGTCCGTCGCACACCACGCCATTCTGTTCCGTACCACCATCTCCGACCTCCTCCGGAGGATAGTTCTGCAGGTTCCGCGCCAAGCGCGAGACCAGGTTATAGGGCCTGGAGAGAATTGTGTGGCTTTTGCCACTTGGAGCACTTGAAGATCAAAACAAGCGACTCAAGTGCCAAAGAAATACTCATATAATGTAGTTACTAGATACTTATATATATAAGTACAAATTCTTCCCTAATTTCATCATGTTCGTTACACAGTTGGCCACCACGCAGGTTTGACCATGTGTTGACCCTACCGAGAGGTGGACAAATGCTTGGGTTGGAGCTTAAGCTCGGTTTAAGCTTAACCTCGTCAATACATTCAGATCTTTGAACTCCACACTTGGACATCATCCAATTACGGTCCAATGAAACCCTTCGGAGAAAGCTTTCCACCTGTGCACTGAAAAATATCGACCACAAACCCAGCTGAGTCACTTCGCTCCGCAGGCTTGCGAAGGGGTGGGGGGAACACCGACCATCTAGATCCCAGCTTCGGGTCCTGCTGAAGCCCCAACAAAGGCCACCAAGAAGAGAACAGTATAGGGGACATGTGGGGACCACCCTCGCTTTTTGGGGACCACCCTCGGGAGTCTAGATTTGTTGTGCTGGACCTAGAACTACTCTTCAGTGCAGCTAATGACGCTAATGAATGCTAATGATCTACTTGTGTTTTTAGGGCTCTCATCTGTCATTCCATACCGCCGTCCCCAAAATCACACCTCCAACACCATGTGCTGTGCATGCCACCCACTCCGCAACGTCAAGGAAAACAGCAGTCACTGGGCTGCAGACTGTGAATCGTCAGCAAAGCGGAACTGAACCTCCAGCAGCTGCTGCATCTCCTGGCAGTTGGCCCGTGTGCACGGACGGACCCTAGCACTCCAAGATGCTCCTGTCCCACATCCTCAGAAGGGTGTTGGGGTGGGTGCCAGTGGTGTCTGTCCCTACCTTCTGAGGATGGTGGGACAGGGGCCCAAACGGGTGAGGTGACCACTCTCTTTGGTTTTCAGCTCTCCTGCAGCATCCACTGGGAGACGGGTGTGGCCCGCAGTAGGCCGATCATCGTGAAGAGCCTCACCGCCGACAGGACCGAAGAGGAGTCGAGTCGGTGTGGAAGTGGCTCACCGGTGACGCCGAGGTTGAGACAGAACAACTGACAGCGTGAGGAAGGGACAAGACCACCTCTTTGTCTCAGAAGTGCTTCTTGGGTCTGAAGGTAAACCCATGGATTCTGCGAAAGGGGTTCTAGATGTTGGTGTCACACAAACAGGCAAACAGTTGAACAACATCCAGCAATGGTGTGCAAGTCCTGCATCCGGGCGCATGTTTTGGGCTCTTTGGGAAAGAACAACATGTACACTGGTGTGTCAATACTTTGGGTCCAACATGACTTACCAACTTCAAGCACATGCAAAGGCTTGGCATGTTGTTCTACTATTGCAATTGAAGGATTCACTGCACCTGGAACTTACTGCAATCGACTCTGCAATGACACAGGAAACAACATGAAACAAAGCACTTGGGAACATGTACCTATCGGCCCTCGGGGCTCCTCAAAAGAAATCACTGTTTACAAACAAGTCCATACAAGAACTCTGACACGCACATACACACACAAACACAAACTAAGAATAAAGCAAAGTGCATTTGTCAAATGGCTCTTGTCGACTGGCTCTGATCTTTGCTCTGTTGGCACCTTCAGTTCAGCTGCTTGGGGTCATGACAGTTCTTGAAATGAAAGTTCACCCCTGGCCACTATCACCTGCCTCTGTCCAATCTCCTGAATCTTCTCCAGCCCCTGGTCGCAATACATCTTGCGAGTATGCGTCTAAGGAGTGAAGGGTGGATCCCAGTCTTGACCGGTGCGACTGGTCACGGTCAGTGACTTTGCTTGAGGGGGTTTTCAGAAGTGGTCGAAGTGAGATGTTGTGGTGCTTTTTTTCAAGGACAGGTGGTGATCCCCAGGTACTCGTGCAAGGCGATTTGAGAACCCAACTTGGAATCAAGTTATATAGATTGATAACTAGACCGGTGTTACCTGACTTGAAGTTACCTTAAGTCCCCTAGATTAATGCCTAGAGCTGCAGCTAGGGACCCCAACAACACTAGACTAGTGGAATACTAGTGGGTTCGAGTGGGTTTGCAGCTCAAGAAGTGAGGGGTAGAATTCCGCTACACAAGGCCAGAACAGCTGAATACTCGTGGAGCTTGTTTCTCCAAAGAATTACCTTGGAAGGACTGACAGATCCTAACATAAGACTCTGATGTTGATGTGGCCGAAGCTTCTTGAAGTCTGAACTTGATTGCAAGCTCTCAGCGTCCCTTGCGCACCACGGGCCTGTTCCGTTAGAGCAATGGTCACCTGCGCTGCAAGATGGGTTACATGTAGGATTGTATGTAAAAAACCATTCCAGCATATTCCCCCAAACAGGGTGCCAATCAAACAGTCAGTCCAGGAACCCTCAAGGTGTCTCTGAGACTGCCCACTGAAAGTCAAAGAGGTCAAATTGCAGGGATTTTAGAAAACAACAATTCCTTACACAATCATCCTTAATTAAGAAAGACCTGGTGTTTCGAAGTGTATGGAGAAACATCTTGTCGAAGACCCATGAAACAGATCTTCTGAAAGTGGAGAGAGCGACCTCATGGTTTCCAAGGCGGCCGGGCATGATATGGAAGTCCCAAAGAAACGCCGTGAGCCGCAGACTGTGATCCAGCTACACTCCGACTTACCAACGTGGAAGTGGAAACAAAAGAAACACAATAAACTATATAGGTGTGTGATGGTGTGTGTGTGCGTGCGTGTGGCTAGGAAGACGGTCTTACCAAGGCTGCCATCCGCTTCCATGCGAGATCGTCATGTGAGTCACTGTGAGGAGCTTCTTCTCATCTCGTGATCCTGCATCATCTAGTCTGCAAGCTATCACTGTCCTTTGTACGAGTACCTCTTCCAGGGTGAAACAACCCTCCGTTGGCACGATGCCATGACCCTTCGTGCGCAACCGTCCCCCAGAGATCCCACCGAACCCGGCCGATCGCATCGCCTCGCCTGGAACTGGGAGAAGCTGCCGAAGTCCGTCGTCCCAGCACTCAGCGAGGTGGCCCAACCGCTCGCCTTAGGCGCGGTTTTAAGCGCGAAGCAAGGCGACCGTGGGGGGCCAGGGACAGTTTATGGGTGGCCGGTTCTTGGGGATCTGAAGGCGGAGGAGAGGGGATGAAGATCCAAACCGAGCTGTTTCGGGTTTACGACTCAGACCCAAACCCGAGTCAATAATGGCACATCCAGTGGTTGACCTACACTGATCAATATGACCGACACCTTCCTTCTCTTTGGTATTTCCTTCTACTACTCACGTTGTCAATACTGCAGCTTGCAGGTTCCTTGCAAACAGCCTGCTGCACCACGTTCAATACAGAAGGACTTGTGAAGTGAGTTGGGGATAAAATCTATGTCGTCAAGTCCTCGGGGTTTTGTTTCCAGAACCTCCATGGGCCAAAACCTCACAGTTGTCGAAGTTTCGAATGTTCTCACTCAACGTAAATGAAAGCGAACATAGGAGAGCCATAAAGCTCTGGGAAAGGCCATTGTTTTGCTTTGGAAGGCTGGGTTCCCATCGGAATGAGACCGCACAGAAGGAAAACGAAGCCGGATCCCACAATCCCCAGAGGGCCACACACCCATGAGCATGTTTCAACATCTTAAAACAAAAATCCAGAACTTGAAATATAGATTAGTGTAGAATCTTGATTAATAACCCCCGCATATTCCCACGCATATAGAAGAGCTTGCACAATCTACGAGTACAATCCAATTGGGATGGATTATGACGCACAATTGACAGGACCTTGACGCTATACACAGCATGATCTTGACGCTCGAGCATTGGTCAGCAGAAAAGCCATGCAGTTCAATGGCAAACTGAAATCTGTTGACAGCTCGAGCGCTCCGTCGGATTGGCTCCTTCGAAAGTTTCACGGTCTTTCTCACTCCATTCCCAGTCACCGTGAACGACATCATCTGATGTGCTGAACCTGGAAGACCTGAAAACCACTTGGTTGGTAGAGGAAAACAATCTTCCAGGGGGCCAAACAACAGGGTCTATGTTGACTTTTTGGAGTGTGTCCTCGGCTCTTAGGTGCCCACGTCGTTCCCAGATCCGCGCCTTCAACGCGGAGAGCAAGGAGCCAGGCCCCTGCGATGGTAGATCGGCCATCGATCAAAGCCGATCTTAAACAGTGGTTCTTGACAGTTGAACCAAGAAAAGATGTGCGTATGGACCTCGGAAACCTAAAGGCGAAGAAACACTACAAAAAAATACGTTCGTGGAAGATAGGCCTTATACGTCCAACTTCAAGTTCAAATCGCCAAGGATTTCCAGGTGTAAATAGGAATCCTGAGGGATTTGGTTTGAGATGGTTTGAGAGGATGGCAATGGTTTCCAATACTTGTGGAACATGACCTGTAACTATTTGTTTCCTATCTATCTGGAGTCACCATGGGAGGGGCATTCAGGTGCATGAATCAAGCCTTTAACAGGTCACAAGGGCACCGTGTGCATCTGTTGTTACACATCTTAGTGACTATAGTGCATGTAGCCCTGTAAGTACCAGCCCCGCTGCAACGCACATGTTTTTCTTTTGTAATATAACGCTATCAGCGAACGCTATCTGCGCGGTTGAACTACCTCATTTTGCCAAATGCTCGATACTCTCCTCGGCATGTTCCATGATCAGTGTACTTGTTGAGCCAAAACCCATCCAGAAGACTGCTCCTGCCAGCAATGCGCTTCCAGCTTGAAACCACGTGAGCCCGCGTTGACCAAAATGGATGAGACCTTGAGTTGCCAAAGCCGAATAGATCGATGGTGGGGCTGCTTGTGCAAAGACTTCGAAGGAAGCAGCAGTGCCGGCAAAATCCTCCAAAGGATCAAGGAATAGAACCCCAAGTGGCAAGTAGCAAGCCAAAGTGAAGCCCATCAAGAAGGAGCTTCCCAGATAGGCCCACAAGTAGTGAGAGAAAAAGATCGCTGCAATGACAAAGAATAAGCCGGATCCTAAACTGAAGGCTGTCATCCATCGCTTGGCCGTTACCAGCACTTGACCGGTAGACATCGTGACCAAAAGCATTCCAAAGGCCGAGCACAAAGCAAAGGCCCCAATCAGCCAAGAGGTGGTGACTGTTCCCTTACCATAGAGACCCTCGGTGAGATAGCTGATGTTGGAATCAAAGGCGTAATAGGTGCTCAACACCAAAGTCTCGGTCATCAGCAAGGTCACCAGCTGTGGATCCCAGAAGACGCGCTGGAAGCTCTGCTTGTAGCTGGGCGGATCCTTCGTGTCCACGGCCGTTTCATGGATGCAGAAGGCAGCGTAGTGTGCCAAGCCCGCCCAAGCCAATGTGAGAAGAAAGAAGGGAACTCTCCAATGGCTAAATGAGGCAACAAGCCCTCCTACAACTGGTCCAAGAAATATTCCAAACAGCTCAAATGCTCTGACCACCGACACGGCCGCCAACCTGGTCAAGGGCATCAAGAAAGTACATTAATATCATAGATTGTGACAACATATGCAACGATATAGAATATAGTTAATTACATAGCATGTGCACCATTGATTTTTTCAGCTAAACCTTGAAAAACCTTCAACATATCTGCAAATGATCAAGTCCAATAGAACAACGACCTTGTGGGGTTCATCCCACCTGTCTTGTGGTTCCGGGAAGCAGTCCCGGAGGATCGCGAAGGTCACCGGCTCCAGCGATTCGCCCAAGGACTGCAAGATCCGGGAAGCCAGGAACCAACCGACGTCTGGAGCCAATGCACAGCCGAAGGAGCCCAAAATCAGAAGTGTTGTACCTGTGTGATCCATGTGAAGTGGATTTATCACAAGTGTGTGACAGTTGATACTTTACATAACTATACTATACCCATAAAACAAGTAGTTGCTGTTTTTTTCCGCTACTCATAAACTACCTATACGACTTGACACAAAACAATGTCCGATACGTTGACATTTGAAGCGAAGTCATTGGTTCCTATATATATATATATATGTTTCTATTCAACTCGAAGCACTTACGAGTCCGACAATGCCTCTTCAAACAGGTTTGAAAAGGTCTTGTCGACTGAGGCGCATGTCACGATGATTGGCCTCCTCCCAATCTTGTCAGATAAGGGAGCGACGATGAGGCCGATGACGCACTTGGAAAAGATATTCAATTGCACGGAGCCAGAAAGAAGAGTTTGAGACCCAGCGAGCTCCACCTCCATTTGGGGCATACTTGGAAGGTACTGATCAGTGGTGAAATACAAAAGTCCAACGACTAGGCCCAAGTAGATGGTCACGGTGCTCCTACCCACCATTCTTGGATCTTTTGGACCTTTCTCAGGACAACCAAAGCACAGCAAGATCACGGCTAAAGAAGTGTAGGTTGTAACCGTCACTGCCTTGCAAAGCCAGCCATACTCTTGACCAAGCTGTGCCAGCTGAAAGCCATGCAACACCCCCACGGACTGACTTTCCTTCAGCTGAAGGCTGGAAACTCCAATCGTTGAATTTATCTGAAGGAAGCATGCATCATCCATGGCAAGTGCGTCCACCTTCAAGGGTTTGGTGGGGAAAAAACATGAAACGGTTCAGCATGGTTCAGCAGTTCGATCCCAGATCTTGCGACATCAACGGGTTCCGTGAGGACCTCCTACGGACCTACGGACGGCCAGGGCCGGCGGCTGAGGTCCCTTGCGTCCGAGTCTTCCGGTTCTCCTGGCCCACCATCCTCAGGTAAGGTGGTTAGACCCCCCAAACGCACCCACCCCTGTCGCATCTTCGAAACGGAGGTGGGCCAGGAGCCCAAACGGGCCTAGGGATTTGAAGAAGCAAACCCCCCATCGGGGCTGAATGAACAGGTGTTGACGCGTCGACGCAGCGAAAAGGCTGGTCGTTCGTCCCGGTGTCCCAAGAGGTGTCCCAAGACTTCTGGACAACCCAGTTGGCGTCTGCCTCGGTGTTTCACAATGGGACACCCAGCACCAAATCCACCCAAATCCTGCAAGAAACGAGTTGCACCAGTTTCACCCACAACAAATACCTGTTGGGGGCCTTTTGGATGTGGATTCAATGGACTCGATCCAACATGATCCAAATGTTCTGCCCCTCCAGGCGGTGAACGCGAGCTGTTTCGGGTTCGTTCCCAGTGGAGCTGCTGCTTCGGCGAATGAATTGTTCTCCCTTGCTATCAGCAGAATCACCCGACCTGCTGCTTCGTGTAGTCCCCGAATCAGCGTAATGTTTGCAGTTTTTAACATTGCCGTGTGCGATTTTAAGTTGGATTCCTGCCATGCCTCATGGCGCTGAGCTCCTTACAGGCGGATTGCTCAATCGTTCTACTTATCTTGATTCTCCACCGAGTACACACTCTCCTTCTAGGGGGGAACACTGGCATCTTCGTTCAACGAATGATTGCCCTGAGTTCTTACAAACACACAGCAATGGGAACATGGAGCGTAGTTACAGCTTGAACATTGAACATGCACAGTATCATACTGTATCTTTAGGTCAAGCAAACTCAGGGAACCAACGGAGTAGTTCTGTTCTCTCGGGTATTTGTTGTTTACTTGCAAACAAAGCACCCCCAACCCCCCGTGCCTCATGACCCAAAACATGAGAGGCATAGCTGCCGGGCTTGCTCCTGCAAAGTGCAAGTCAATTGGTCGTCCAAAGCAAGCGCAACAGCGGGAGACGGTCAAGTTTCCTGAACATTGAACACTTCGTTGAATGTGCAGGCAGCCCCTGACAAACAAGATAGACATATTCTAGACACCTGCGGTCACCAGGGAAAACTCTCCGGTGTATATAACTCAAAACACTTCTCATCCGCATCATACTTGCGCTCAAGCGGAAAAGCTTGGGCCCAGACTTCCAAAAGGGCACCTGTGAGCAGTGACCAACCACTTCAACCTTCTCTGCATCAAACATGTTTGACATTGCTTGACTGCAGCAGTTACAGCAGGGTTTGCAACAACTGGGTCCCAAACAAACAGAAATGATAATCAGTACATATCAGTACAATTTCAAACGGAATTTACTGTTCTACGGTCAAAAGGTATATTCTCTTCACACCAGTGTCCTCCCCCAAAAACCTGGCCGCACCTCAACCTATATTGCAAGCCTGTTTTTTGCCTGCAAAGCTTAGTGACTAAGTGGGGTCGACTCGCGTGGTCCCGCGAATGATGGGCTTCTTGTCTTCCCCCAAACCGGGCTTCGCAGAACGTGTTTCCGGTGGATCGGACCAGTATTCTTTCAGAACACGCCGAACATCGCGATAAGCACGCGATAAGCCTCCTTAAACAGCTGGTGGTCATCTTCATCTTCCAAACAAAAGTGGATTGGTATGTTCGGTACCAAGGGGAATGGCGGTAACCACCAGGTCATTTACTTCATCATTTCTTAATGGCTTAAAGCCCCATTGTGGTAAACCCACTCGAAGCCAACATGTCTGAAAAAACCTTGACACATCAGGCCTGCCACTTAGGCAGCTGCCACGCGAAGCTCACCTGCCTGAAGTCCTGACAAGTTCCCAAGTTCGATTCCTTGACCATCCGTTCCCTTCCACTGGATTGTCTCCGAACCCTCTCTGAATTTGGATGATCCTCAACTGTTTGGTGTTTGCTACTTTCATCTACTTTCTATGTGTTTGTTCCTTCTTTCTTGAGAACCTTGTGTTTCCATGTGTTTCCAAGTTTTGACCAGTTTTCTTGTGGCCTTCGCTACAGGCTACAAGGGGAATCGTGTAGACGTTGCTTCAAGGGGGAATGGAATGTGCAAGTTGGATGGCATTGCTCTGCATAGTATCCTGCAGTGTCTCAGTATGATCCCTTTTCCTGGCAATCCAAACACGCATGCAACTGCCCATGTTTTAGACTGCCAATATACAGCACGAAAGAATATGAAAGGGCTGTTTTGTTGCAATGCTTGTGGTGTTGGAATGAAGGGCAGCCCCAGTCTCACCTGTCAATGAACATGTTACACTAGGAAGCGATCCAACATGATCCAACGCTCCTCTCAGCGATCTGAGGAACCTCGTCTCAACCGGGAGCCCCACCGGTGAGACGTGGATGGCCCCGGTGTGGCGCCGGTGACGCGCCGGTGACGGCGGCGGCTTCGTCGTCCTTCGAAGGCACCCGCCAGCACGCCCCGGTGAAGTCCTTGAACGTGGCACCACGGTGTGATGTGGACAACTGGGAAGTACCCGGGTGTGTTTGTTTGTAGAATCATAGAAGATACACGTGACACACATGACACAATGCAAGGGCATATAATGAAAATCTATGGAACATCTATTTCGGAATGGCGAGAAATTGCTCGCCATGGATGAATGATGGTGTTTCTCAGTACACAGACAGCACCTGGCATCCTGTACTGGGTCCAGGACCTGAAGGATTGTGAAGAGGTCATTCAGTTGGCATGGTTTGGAAAGATGAAAAGGCGCTGTAAACATCGAACACATGCGGAACCCATGCTCATCCGTTGCAGCTCCTGTGGCCGGAATGGCATCTCACTCGCTCCGTGCTCATCCTCAGCCAGCACCAGGCCGCCATCCATTCAGAGACCACTCATGACCGTTGATTGCATGATATTGCATGGCAACAAAACACACACACACACAATCAAAACAAGAAAACACACACATCATATGAGATGTCACAAGGTTTCTCCTCCCATTCCGGGCTCTCCCGGCTCCCCGCAGCGCCCGGTGCCCGGTGCTCTTCACCGAGCTGAAGCGCTCCATGACCATCTGCCGCCTCCGGACGGTGAAACGGGTCACCGGTGACCGAGCCAAATGGACCCATACGGGTGTGGATTTGAATAGGGAGATCCCCTGGTTTTGGAGAGCTAGACATAGGTAGACATAGGTAGACTAGTCTATTTACCCAACCTGGAAGAGGGTCATTGCCTGGAGGGTCTCACTATAGTTACTTACACACCCGTTTGGACCCGTTATGGACATTGGATGCATATAATTACTATGGACCTCGGTTCCTTGTCTGGCTGCTGGCACAGCTGGCACGGCATCCAGACTACTCAACATCTTCCGAACTGATTGGGTCAAAGCCCTCCTGAAAACAAAAGCCCTCCTGATCGAAGGATACACCAATTTACAATTGACAGACAGGTGTGATACACCAGGTGGCAGGTAAACATGTCACACAACTAGTTGATCTTAGTCAGCTGCAGCTTTTGGCGGCCGAACATGTTCCAGGGCACAAAAGGTCGTCTCGACTCCAGACGTTCACATCGTTCGCTGCGACAAGTGGCAGCTCTTCTAAAGGCTCTTCGCCCAACACTGCCAGGGTCATGTCCTGCACTGTGGTAGCTGGTAATACTGTAGCTTTTGTTGTAACCATGCCAGAAAACCAGCAATTGCGAACCTAGATGAAGTATCTCTGCTAAGCTCTCTTGCAGCCACTGGTTCCAATTACCACTACAGCTGCAAACCAGTGCTTACTAAACACACAAAATATAACATATACTCATATACATGTTACATATTACATATCCCAAAAACATGGATCTAGACCTGACATCCACGTTCACAAAGCTGTTAGAGATGCGGATCTTTAAAGACCCGTTCCCTCAACTCATCCGAAACGGTCCTCAGAGGTGTAGTTCTCGTGATAAAATCTCACCACCTCGTCGGTCAGAGACCACTGCGGCCGTTTCAAGACACGTCTGACTCTCAGCGAAGGTCCCACAGTCAGAGGGCTGTCCCACAAAGGAACCACGGGTTCCAACAAAAAACACATGACGTCATGAATGCATATTTGAATGCCACACTCTCATCTCATGTATGTCAGTCAACGCATGCCAATCTCAACAAACACACAAAAAAACGTGTCCTATGTCTCCAATCAGTCCATCACTTCATCTGCAACCTCGCTCGTGCTCTCATTGTCGCCTCGCTGTGGAGTTGGACGCCACGCTTCTTGGGCTCCTCTCTCAAGCTCCTGGGGCGGTCCCAAGGGGCTCCGGTGCGACCGTGGGGGAGAAGAAGAGCTTTGCGACATAACCTGGACCAATGGGAAATGTATGAACATATTACTGGAAGATAGGGGTTTACGCGACATTGTGCATCATGTGTATCTGCCCTGTGGGGATGGTTTTGGTGCTTTGCCGCTCGAGCCCCTGGTGACACCACTGGATCTCAACCGAACATACAGTTGATGAGCGAATAGACATATAGAAGGTCGATGAGGACCCATCATCTCATCCAGAAACCGGTGAACTCCTTGTTATGAGATCCATTGATACCCCATGAAACCTAGAGATAAGACCATCCCACGAGACCCAGAAAACCCATGAAAACCCATGGTCTCGTGCGCCTTGTCGGTTCTTGTCCGCGTCCCGACTGAGCACCCCCACTGAGCATTGCCGGAGCCCCAGTGCAGCGGGTGCTGTGGATTCGCATCCAACAGCAGGGCCTCAGGCAGTGAAGCTGCATGAAGCCACCAGGATTATATAATCGCAAGTTTGGAAGCTTTAAGTGGGCAAGTTCATGTCAGACCAATCCTATTCATTTTGTTGACACCAAGCACTTGATATCACTGAATTATGACATCAATCCACGCAGGCATGGCCAGCCCATGACCTCGCTGGCCTTGTCGCCGCGCCACAAAGAAGTCGCCCGATTTCCCTCGCTGCCCGGGCACGGCGTAGCTCCGGCGGCCATCGTCCTGCAGACGCATGGAATGCTCGCTGTCGACGGCGTTGATCTCGCGCTCGGTCGCCTAAGAAAAAGCACGGTCCGTGACGGTCCGGAACAGGCGATGTGTTTTGCAGAACGCCATGTATCGGAAGTTGGGCAGTTTCATATGGGGGACCACGGTATTTGGACACCCTGAAACCGATTGAGACTCTGTATGGAATAGTAGATGCTCTCCTGCAAGAAAAATGCTAATTGGATCAAATTGGAGTAATAATCGTTGATCTTTGAGTGGGGTGAAGAATGGCCACTCTTCGTTTGGGCTGGTAGAAACCAAATCCAAAGCCTGCAAAGGCCTACCTCGGAGTCCGGCTGGTCTGATGCCCCAGATCTCCCATGTCCAGCCATGCGGCGCTTTCTGTGAAGAGCGGCGTTCGGAAGAATTGGCAGAAGCGGTCCAAAGCGCCTGAGGATCTCTTTCTTCGAAGTGGGAGGACGTTCAGAGTCAACTTGCCAAAGACCTTCTGAGATTGCAAGGCCCGAGACCTCTCCAGTTTTGCACTTTGGTCTTCGTTTAACTTTGCCAAAGGACACCCCCGCCTTTTCCCGCAAGACAGCAACCTCGCCTGCGAGCTGCAGCGGTGCCACGTCGAAGACGTAGCACGTCTGGGCATCGCCGGTGGAAGCATTGCACTTCCCGCCGTGACCTGCCACTCGATGCGACTCGAGGCGACCGGAGGCGACTGTCGGTTGGGAGAGAAGGAAACAGAACAACGGACGGTCGATCGGTAGATCCAGTTCATGGGGCCTTTACTGATTTACCATGACTTTACCTGAAAGGTAAGGGTTCTCTTGATAGACAACAGCTGTATTTGATGACTGCAGTGGCTGACAGGCAAAAGGACAGATCTATCCAAGTCACAACTTCGACACAAAAACATCTGCCGATGTCTAACAACTAAAGAACATGGACCATCAGCAGGACAGTCTCCAGGTCTACACCTAAGCAAGTCAGCCTTTTAAACATTACAAAACGGGAGACTGTGACACCCCAGTGGCATTCCTCTTGGTCCGGCATTTCGAGATCTTGCCTAGCCCTTCTCTGGTTTCGGTTCTGCTGATCAATCTATCATCGGCCTGCAAACCATATATAACCAATGAAGAGTCTGAACATGTCTGAAACACATGGATCATGGGCACCTCTAACCCGAAGGTTTTGGATGGATCATCGTCTCCGTCACCGAATGGCTTTGCATCTCGACACGGTGGATCTGAACACCTGGTGTTCGCTCGTCCTCCGCCAAGCCGTCGAAGAGGATTTGAAGCAGCCCGTGGGAAACCGGAATGGGAACCATTCCATATTGGTGCCCATGTGGTTATTCTGCAAACTTGACTAACACACCTTGCAGTTCCTTGGGGGAATGGACCGCAGCATACCTGTGAGCATTCAGAAAGGGTGTCCGCCTCACACAGGATGAAACCAAAACGTGGACCGAACATGGCGTTGGTGGACAAACTCCTGCACCACTAGATACAACTCCCAAATCAAAGGTCCCGGAAAAAAAAAAAGAACACAGTCTTTTCTGTGGTTTCTGGAGGGCTTTTGGGTGCCGCAGCTTGTGTTGTCCATCAACAGTGTGGAAGCTTGTGGGGCGGAATGGTTCGACCATAACCCTCCGACCATCGCATGTATGCGGTGGCTGCACGTGGCTGCACTCAAGCGTTTTGGCGCTCGGGGCACCCTCTCATGCTTGCAAGGGCGAGGTCCGAAACCGACTGGTGTAAATCAGGGAAAACGAATGAGGACAAAGCCTCGACCCCAAAGCAGTATGTTGTCATGGTCATAGTAGGTCACATCTGTTCATTTCATGTTCGCTCCTTCTTCTCAGCCTGGGCTTCCTAGGCCAATAAAGGATACTGGAAAAAGCACCAACTAGCCATTCACCCAATCAAATCCCCATCAATCCCAGCGACGCTTGATAAAGCGCTTGTACTCCGCCTCGTCGGGAAAGGCCTTCTTAACGAACCAATCCGAAAGAAGCGGCGAAGCGGTTTTTCACACATCCCGGAGCCACACATGCTGTCTGTGAGAATGGTTTTGGGGACCACAAAACAAATCTAATCAACAAAGCAACTGGGCTGAGACAGCTGGGACCATTCCAAGTTGCAGAGAAGACAAACTTCAGGAGTTGTCACAACAGTTCTTGAACATGCGAGCCAGAACGGTATCCTCAATCCTCAAGTCTCCCCAAATTTGTGACTCCCTCTGGAGAGGTCCTTGTTTGTCAAGGCGACCACGTGAGCATGGTTGCGCACTTTTTCGGACAGTCACCTATGGCGGACCCATGTCCTGCCTTCGATTGGGTCGAATGAATCCTTCCATCAGTACCAACACCTCAGTTTGAACCCCCTCTTCCGAACCGTGTCTCTTCTGAACCGTACCCGACTCAAAGGACTGAGCAGATCTGGTCATGGGACGCATGGTGTACCTGCTACCCGCTGCTACCCGCTGCTAGGCATTACAGGACACTCCTCTTCCCAAAGCATAGCAAACCATGCATTTGACACTCGAGATGCCCCTCTCCTCCACTCTTAAAAACAAGAGCAATGGGGGTGCACCATGACAATTGCTTTGCTCCTATCACCAATTAGTTGCATCATGAAAGGGATCTTTGCTGGTGCTTTTTTGGCCGGCCTCTGTGCCCAAGAAAAGCATGTGCTCGCAGAAATGCGCCAAGCCAGGCATGTCCTGCAGCATCTGGCCAACACAAGCAACAAACCTGGGAAAGGGTTCCCTTTCCTTTTGACCATCACCTAGATGTTTTCTACGCCCATGGATACATACGGTGCAAACAAAAAGCACTAGTAAAATCGTGAAACAAATGTTGAGGGATTGAAACATCCTCCGTTGCATTTCAAGGTTCAAAAACAAAAGCAACATATTTAGTAATCAAACACTAAAAAGGGCAAAACCACTGCGATCACGGTTTTCGATGTTCACCCCATACATCAACCGGTGTGAATGCCATCCACTCAGCTAAAACCCCGCTCTCCTTCGGTTCGTGTAGCCGTCCAACACCGACGCACAAAGCACAAGCCGCTCGGTCACAATTGCTATCTGAGGCCAACAAGACCTGCGGACAAAGGCCTATGAGCTTGGTGTGCGGCAGAATAGTCAAAAGCATAACCGTTTAACCTGTCTTTAACACACACCAAATCAAACGGTTTGGACAAAAAACACATAATATATAATATGTTGACTCTCTCTATATATATATAATAATATCAACTATACTACAGTAATAATATTAACATCAATGTTTAAACATGCAATTATATAATGGATCAATATGGATCACATTCCTGCCAATGGCCACCACATCAGAATTGTAGGCTTTCTCAACCTCACACAACATAAAACATCCTTGGCCTGCATGCCATTTTCCAAGCACATGTACTCATACTGCCGCCGATGTGTCTCCGGCTTACGGATCTCGTTCTGCACGCCCCGCGCCGTCGCCGCCGCCGCCAGCGAGGCGGCACCCGCCGCCAGCCAGCGCGGCGGCGGCGGGCGCGGCCGCTGGCGCGGCGCCGGGCACAGGTGCCACGAGGCGCGGTGCGCGTGAAGAAGTGCGGGGCGCCATGGTTGGAAAGTGCCACAACGCATGGGGCGCAGGGTCATGCTCATTGGGAAATTGCTTGGAGAATCCAATGGAACTCTGAACGGTCTTTGGATTTGAAGCATGGACTGTCGATCTGTCATGACTCTGAAAAACGTATCTTCAATGGTCCTCCAAATCTGCAAAACCATACCACACACAAAACATGCATCATGGATACTTGGCTTCAAGCCTGAAAGGCTTCGACAAGTGAGATGGGCCGGCTCTGCCAAATACGTACGGTGGTCGCAGTACGTCACAGATCATCGAAGTGTTGCGCGTATGTTGCTCTAGCATGGGACACGATACTACATTCAGATAGGGTCAGTATTTATGCCCTCCCCAGATCTACATCTTCCACATAATCAGGAGAATGATTTGACATGAGCCGGAGAGCAAGCTTCCTTTGGATTTTCGTTACCGTTAGTGATACTCAAAGCCTTCTCCTTGGCTTGGCACAATGAGCCTGCAGCGTTGTGTTGGCTTTCGCGGTCTTGCCCGAACACCCTGCTGCAGGGTGGGCTTTTTCGTCGGTGGCTGACGAGTGCGTCCATCACCACAAGGCATGCAGCTTCGTCCATTCCCCCACGGGCCATTCCAAGGCCATTCCGGCACGTCGGCAATCTTCCATGACAAACACCAGCTGGTCTCCGACCAGTTGAGACAAGCTGAGACCTCTCCAAGTGAAAATGGCACGTCTTGATGCAAATGGAACACCTGATATCAGGAATCTGAAGGGATCTGATGATCCGTGTGCGCCGTGAAAGCGAACAAACGCTCTTTTTGTGTCTCTTTTCTCCTCATTTGCGCATCTTGGAAGCAACTCCTAGACTTCTCTGCTTCTTACCCAGAAATGGACGTGGCTCGAACTATATAGCTCAATGTCGAAGATTTGGGGGTCATTTGGGTTGTGGGCTGGAGTCTTCCCGTGTGGTAGAACGATAGCACACACACACACAACTGCACCTAGCTATTTGCCACAACGTTTGCCACATGTTTTACTTTCTTTTTTCCTTGTGGAAACCATATGAGCCCTTGTCATCTGAGAAAAAAGGAGATGTTCTGTCAGAGACCATAACCTTAATAGCCCTGTTGCATCCTGTTGCCACTTACCTCGTTGACTCATCCGAGCTAAAGCTCAGCTGCGAAGAACGAGCCACATCCGAACCCAAACCCCAATCCGGTGGATCGCAGGAACAGTATATGCTGACCAGATCAGTTTCCCTAGAAAATATGGTTACAGTAACCTTTTCCACTGTTCATGTTTAGTGAGGAAACCGACCCCCCAAAAAACGGCTGAACATGCTCCACTGACTGAGTAGGTATGTCACTAGTTCATAGACGCCTCATTGGAGCAATGTGAAAAATATTCTGACATATTATATCCAGCGCAAAAACAACAAAAGCACCCACATGCCAGCCATATATATATATATGTATATAGTAGGGTCATTTCTCCAAAAATGACAGCCGATGAACATGCACTAGGCGCAAGCAACACCAGCCCATCAAACGATCTCTTATGATCTCTTACAGGCTTGGGCCCTTGATGTTTGAACTTGTTTGAGCTGTACAAGGGCACCAGTTCTTTTTGGCCCACTGATCCTTAGGTGAAGAAACAACCACTCCATGACTGAGAAGGCTGAGCCTTGTGTTTCACCGCGCGTTCGCTCTGTTTCCTGAAATCCACCTGTCACCCCTGCCTGGTCACCCCCGGTCGTGAACCCCACAAATGCTGCATCGGACAGATCTGCTGAACGCTGGGCATCTTGAACCATGTTGTATGCGTCTCGGTGGTAGTGAACAAAACAACCAACACATCTAGTCATGATTTTATTTGTGGGGCCTCTGGAGGTGGAGTTGCTGGTAAATCCTCTGGGGCGTTACTGAAAGTAAGTTCAGATTGTTTTGATGTCTTGTTTGTCTTGTCCTTCATAGATTTTGCTAATGGCTCCACGTCCAAGACAGTCAAATGACATGAGCCATCCCCCTAAATTCCTGCACGTTGCTGGCTTGCATCATGAACATAGCTATATTCCAAACGTCCTGGCACACGCAGTCCGTAGTAGATGTTGGTCATTCATGTGCTCTAATCCCCCACGGAACTTCGCCCTGATATCCCTTGATGGATGCATCCTCTGTCCTTGGTCATTGGACCAAAAGGCTTCTGTCCAGGATTCCCCGAAGTGGGTTCCGACCACCAAACTTGCACCATCAACCACGAAACACATGGAATCAATCGTCATTTCACCATTTCAGCAGATCCAGGAAAACGACAGCCAAACCGAACCTCCCTACTTCAGCAGGCTCGACCCCTGTGAAGCTGCTCTGCAATTTCCTTAACAGCTGCTTTTTCGGCATGTTCAGGAACTGCAGCCCACGCAGGAATAGGTGGGAGCTTCTGACTTCAACGCTTTGATGGCAGACTCGTCGCTCGACTTTTGAACCTCCCGAGGCCAAGCAGAACGAAGGTGCACGAGGTAGGTCCAACTGAAATAGATTGAGAACCAATGGGATCTTTGGACCTTGACGCAACAATCCTTCTCAAACCTAGTAGCGATGGCCTCCAACCTACTAGTGGCCTCCAACCTACTAGTGATGGCCTCCAACCTAGTAGCGATGGCCTCCACCCTAGTAGCAATGATCTTTGGACCTTGACCCAACAATCCTTCTCAAAGCGAGGCATGCGAGGTCAAGTCTCTCACCAACCGGGAAGAGCCAAAGTCTCTCACCGCCTCGACGGTGAACTTGATCGCATCGGCAGCGGCCTTGGTGCGAAGGTAGTACCTCGGCGTGGACCCAACAGCCGATGGAACCGACGGAAGCCGAGGATGGAGTTGTCCCGGGACAACTCCCCCAAAAAAACCATACAGCCGGCTTTGAGAGTTCAACTGGTTCCATGATTCTGAGGTGCAATCTTGCTTGGATGCATGATCATGCCTTTCGAAAAGCTTCAGCTCGGCTAAGGATTGAAGTGGGCATTCATCCATGCTTCCTGTCCGCAGCTTCTCTCTTCGCCATCGTCTTGCCAAACGTCGATGGCTTGCAGCAGCCTTTTTGGACCAAAATAAGTAGGTGTTCCTCTCTCTGGAGTGATTTCATTTAGTACTGATGTTCAGCAAAAGACGGTGAGTGCGGAAGGCGGAGTGAAAACTGTTGACTCCATGTGCATGTGGAGAAGGTCCCAGCTCGGAGGCCGACGATTCCTGGAAACTCCTTGGACGTCCAATTCACAGATGTTAGATGTTGGCGCCCCAACCATTCCCCCAAGATTCCTCAACCCTTGCCCCACCGCCCATGGCCCAGTTTATTAGACTCTTATTGGACTTGGTTGAAGGGAAACATCTATGGTGTTTCAATGGTTTTTTCAGGTGAAAACAATGGTGTCCCTATAGATGTTCTCTTTAGTCCATCCATTGGACCCGTGTCACGGGAATAGCTCAAAAGGCAAACCCACAAAAAAAAAGCGCCCCGCCTGGTGGGACGGGCGCCAGGATGGTTGGTGCACCGTGCGTCCTTTTGACCCGTCTGATTCTCACCGTTCCCCTTCGCCCACTGCGAGAGTCGAAGCCCGGGCGCATCCCTGTCTTGAGCCCTCGAGACCAGCCATGGAAGTGCATCGACATGAGCTTGGCGCTGGTGACGTCTGTCATGTGGATGTTCCTGTCTAAGCGCAACAAGCCAAAGGAAGAAGAAAAAGAATTGGTGACCGTATCAACATGACATCAAAAGGCAAAAATTATAGTAACCTTCTGTGGACATGTGTGGTTTTGGAGTATTTCAGAGGTTCTGCTTGCTCTGTGTTCTAAGGGGAGTTAAAGAGAGCGGCTCAAAAAGATCAACTTCTGGGCTTAGATTGTTCTGAGAATAGGATCCCCTGAAGTGCTGGTGGATGCTACATCCGTGAATCCATGTTGTTTTTTCACAGTTTGCTGGTGGAGGATATGGACAAGGAAGAGTTTCTCAATTAGAAAGAACATGGGTTATGCCCATTTTATGACATTAGCTTCGCCTTAACTTTGGGGTCATCCTGCCTTGTAGACTTCTAGCTACTTGAGGATGAATCTACCTTTCTTGCAGCAGAGCAAGCGGGCCATGTAGGAAATCATCTTTTCAAGACATATAGATGAACCCATGCCATTGGACCTACAGACTTACGGCCATACATGCCAGAATTATGGACCACTACAAACATGCTCACAAAAACATATACAGAATCCCTCCCCCCCCAAAAAAGAGACAACAGAAGTATAGCCAAAAGTGCGTTCCCAGTTCTGAAAACACCGGGACTGGGGTCCAGGATCAAAGATTTCCGTCATGCCATCTGACATCTTCTGAATGATGAGATCGAAATGGTCAACTTTTCTGACAAATATCGATCAGCCAAGTCACAAGGACTGGGACTGATCAATGTACTTTCCACGATCAGCCGCCATGTCTAGGACCACCTTCTGCTTGATCTCCCAGACCGTCTTGTAGAGCTCCTTTCACGCTGGACTGTGGTCTCAAATGGTCTTGGCCCCAGCCTCTGACTGGCTGGATCTAGACGAGTTTCTTCATGCCACTTGAATTTAGGATAACGCCCTAGTGACTTGCCCTAGTGGGAACTCCTTGCAACAACTGGAGCACTTCAAACAAAGGAGATTGAAGTTCCTGAGGCCATGAACTCGATGATCTCAAACGAATGTGTCATCTTCCTTGCCTCGTCGTCCTTCAAATACCAAAGGGTTCTGAGATGTTCTTAGAAGATCTCACGAGATGAACCTTCTGACCTTCACAAACCCTACCCTCTTGGCGTCCTCTGTCCTGTTCTCTGAGCTCGACTCGCTTCCCTGAACTGTAGTTTTCACATTTATATAGACGTGTGAACATGTGTGTTTTTTGCAAGGGAATCTTCTGTCATGCGCGCAAATGGTCCCCCCACCAACAAAATGAAAAACAACGGACCTTCCCCTTTCTTAGTTACTAAAGTCGACCCACAACATGTATGTGAGGGGCGGTTGGTTTTGAGGTGAACCTTATCGTTCTACAGAGTTGTGCGTTCCCTATTATGATAATATATATATATATATATTATACAGTGTTCTACAGTGCTGAGGTTCTCGGTGCGCAAACCTACCCCTCTCCACTAGAGTCTAGTAGGGTGATCTTCGCCTGCTTTGATCGTGGCTCATTTTGATCATACCTAAAACTAAAACACCTTGGACCGTCTGACCCGCTTCAACTCCATCCCTAGGCATCCTAGAGATCTGCTGACAAGGTGTTCAAGATTTGAAGACCTCCTGAGCAACTAGTCACTCCCAAACACCCCCTGAGCAGGTATTTGTAATTTATGGTAGAACACCACCAACCCCTTCTCCCACCACTGGACACCACATCCTTTCCCCTTGGCCACCGGCGTAAGTCAATCTGAAGAAAAGTCATCTTCATTGACTGAATTTTGCTGGTGCTGGTACAGCCCCATGTAAAGTCTCTTCAAGACTGCGTGTTCAAGCTTGCTCTTGTGGCAGCAAGATGCTATGTCAGTAAGACGGCCGACAAAATCCTCACACTGGAACGCATGGTAATGTCGGGAGTTCACTCCTCAATGGTTTGAGCAGGCAACCTCCCCAAAAAAACCTGGGGTCCTTTCCTTCCAAAAATATTGTTGGAGCTGACCAAACCAGCAAACTGTTGCTAAACAATGGCACCAACTTTTTTGGCTGGGCGTCTCTCGGTTGCCTCTGCGCGCAAGATCTCTTGCCAACCCTGAACCGTGGAAGCAAATGGTCACAAACAAGGGATGTCATTGCCCCCCCAAAAGTACGCACTCAACAAAAAGGTGATGAAGCTGCTCCAAGAAACATGGTGCTTGGGGCGGCTGGGCCATAACAACTCTTTGCTAGCAATAGCACCATTGGCCAAAGCAACATCCGCAACCATAGACTCATCCTTAGGAATAGATATGATAAGCTCATTAAGCTCATTGAAGTTGCAAAGCCCCTCAAAGTTAAGGAAACAATTCAATACTAAAATACGGGTTTGAACTGTCAGCCCGAGTGTCACAAGCCCGCGTGAATTGGGAAATGTCATCATCAGTAAGCAGCCTCCCAGCTTTCTCATGAAGGTTGAACCACTGAGCAAGATTCCACCTCCGCTCAAAACACATCATGTAAACGGATTTTGTGATGAGCAATAGGTCCTACTCAGCATACTACCGTACATAGCCAATGTCCACGCATGTAGCTTCATCTTTAAGTATATGTCTATATCCACTTGATCCCACTTCATTGAAATCCCGATGGTAAGCTTTGACCTTAACGACCACAATGCAAAAATGGGTCCGGTTTTCAGTCCCTAGGGGGTGTACCAGTGCCATTTCATATGTATAAATCCCACGCATAACACTTGCTGGTCAGAACTGCAGCAAAAGGGCATGTGCTTGGTCATCAAACAAAGCCGCTCATCTTCAGGCATTGATGTAACAATCGAGACCAGCTCTTCAGCAAGCCAGGCAGTCACAACCCTGGCCTTAGCTTCATCCACAGAAACAACTAGGTTGCAGCACCCCAAAGCCAAGCGCACTCAAAAGAAAGAACACAAACAGTACTGGTTGGTCAGCGGGTGCCACCAAAGCTCATTGAATGCTTTCGCGTTAAGTTCAGGGTACGCATGCTGCCAGGAAGTCAACCTCTTCGTAGTAAAGCGCGGTTGAGAATGCCTTGGCAGGAACAATCGAAATGTTTGAGTATCCCATATGGATAGATTTTGCAAAGTAACACACCACATTTTTGAAATTATCTCGGAAGACCTAAAAGGCAGCAAAAAAAGGATGTGGCAAATGCAGTCAACCATTGATCAAGCTCAGATAAGATGCGGGATTTTGTTCGCACGTGTATATGCTCGAAACAGTTCATACGCAATTGCTAACCGGTCATTTTGATTATTGATGACATCACCAGACCAAACAGTTGGATAGTGGTCCAAAATAACACGCATGGTCGATCCACATGACCACAGGCACACACCTAAATTCAGGATGTGCATCGAGCACCACTTGATGGTGGTTGGATCGAAGCCTGGAAGACTGCATAGTGGACCTCAATTATGCACACAACATGCAATGAATGTACCAGCTGCGTTCTGGCCAAAATTGCTCCCACAAATAAGTAAACATTTAAAGGATGATTTCAAGTCAAGGCACTAGTTGGTCCGGCCCTCAGAGCTTCCAGCTTGAAGGTCTCCAGGTTGTGCCTGAAGGAGGTAGAAACCTGAGAGGGTGCCTTCATGTAGTCATCCTTTCTGGCTCTGCAGTGGTGGCACAGAGCTGTTGCCTTGTAATGCGCACATAGGTTGAGCCATTCCTAAGCTAAGCTGCTTGAGAGCTAACTTTAGAGCAAGTGTCTGAAGGGCCCCAAAACAATCACTTATTGTGCACAGTTGCTGTCCCCTTATTTGGATGGGTTCTATGCTTCTTCACCAACAAACACACACAATTACCAGAACATGTTTCTGGAAATAACACATGAGGAAAAAAACAAACACCCAACAAAAAAACATGCGAAAACAAGCACCCTGGCTCAGTCTGGAATTTCCAGTCGGCCCTGAGTTGCACAATCACACCATGCACAACGCCATTTGGACCAGAGACACCTTGAAGGAGCTGATTCATGGACTCCACAACCTCCGATCCGGAAGATGGTTTGAATCACATGACATGATAAACGCTTTCCTGGGTAGGGATATATCTCAGGCTGTTCCCACTCCAGAAGCCAAGCAGCAGGTTCAAGCAAGGCATAGAGCGTTGGAAAACCAATGGACAAATCCTCAGCCAGCAGTAGGGCGCTAAACATGACTTCAGGATCATTTATGCTTTGGGAAGTACGAGTACTATGCATTGCACTTTTTGACACCAAGCTTTCTTTAAAGTCTATATATAGGGCAAGTTTTTACGCTCAGCCAAGAAACGTTGCGAATGGTCCACAAAGGAAACACACATCGGACTGAGAACGTTTCTTCACTCAGGGCATGGCCCAATACACATACAATGAGCTTCTCATGAGACTCATTAAATTCAGCGTCGTCGCCCCACATGAACAAAGGGTGACAGGTGGACTCAATGCCATGCACAAGCCTTGACACAGCAGCATCCCTCATCTTCATGTGGTTCCAAAACTTCTCAAGGTCAGAAGGGCAAACTTGTGGAAATAAGTTGTTGCGTAACAGCCAAGGAAGTAGTTCATGTGGCACTACCACTGGGTATTTCCTGTCCATGCACACTTCTAATAAGATCGTGGTGCGTTCACTAGAAACTAAGTACTATACTGCTTACATGCATGTGGACACTTAATTCCCAAAATTGTCTAACTTTTTGGGGAATCGAGGATACAGTGAGCGCACACATATCGAGCGAACAAACACACGAGGGTAAACACTAGTAGCATTTGAGCAACCAAGCCTTGACTCAATGCCATTGGCTCCCCTGTCCTTTTGGATGGGCACATCCACCAAGTGAGTTGGGACCTCAGATTTATCAGGTCAATGTCGACGTTGGCTCATGGGATGGGGGAGCGGTGATATGATTAGGGAAAAAAACAAGCCCACTGCCAAATTATACATGAAAAATTCAACAGAGAATCTTGGTCGAGACGAAGCTTTTGATCAACACGAGCAATATCCCTCGCCACATTCCGTCCATACTTGCCAGATTTGCCCGCTTTCCGCAACTCATTACATGGGCCCTTCAGCTGATGCCCATGGAACTTGAACTCCTTTGCAACCATTCGGAGGCACATTTGGGTTTTCTTGAAGCTGGCATCCTCAGAAACCAATTGGGACCCTGGCTTATCAAAAAGCAGGTACGGATCTAGATGTCTATATTATATATATATATATGCTTTTGCATATTATTATAAGAAACAATGTAGACAAGAGAGTCTGCCAAGCACTGCCCTTTCAACCTGGCAAGTGTCACCCAGACCGGCATCTTTCATGAGAAAGCTGTACAGTGGTGAGGTAGTTGCTGACTCCACTCCATGGTGTCTTCAAGACGAAGACGACGAGCAGGCACCTGCATGGGGAAGCATCGAGCCAGTTGGCTGGATCAGAATTGGGGTCCAGTTGGCTGGATCAAAGCCAGGGTCCAGGTGGCTGGATCGAAGCCAGAGTGAAGGTTGATCCTACATCATAACCAGGGCTGTCTAGATCCCAGATGTATCCATTCAACAGAAAAATAGAAACAATCGATATCATTTGGCTACACTTGCGTGGCGTGGCATTCGATTTTCTTCCCAGCTGATGAGATCTATGTTGCACGACAGGTGTTCACGTGGCTTGTCAGCACACTCACCTGTTGGCGCTTGAACCACATAGGTGCCAAAAATTCAGAGGCACGTCCCAAACCACCACCCTTGTTAGATAGCTGCAGCACTCTGAATCCAAAAGCCCACAGATTCAGATCTAAGCCACAGGGCAACTGACACTAGCTATGGTGAAGAACTTTGCC